TTTTCAATAACTATCTACAAGGGTACTTATTTAAACTTTAAGAACGATAAAAAAGAATATGTAAAGAAGTTAGATATAAATACATAATTCTACAGATAAATGAATATAATTTTGCTATTAGCATAAATACTAAAGTCAGACATATGATACCGAATAGGAGCTTTCAGTCCTCAGTGGATTCCAATTATTAGGTTTACATCCCCTTACACCTACCTATTATTTGATAGGAAACATGATTAATACCTTCTTGAAAGTAAACCTCCCTCGATTCACAGTTAAGTCATGAGGACCTATGGAGTTGATTATTCACAATTGATCAGCTATCAAGTGTCTGAATAAGTGTGTTATATGAGCACATCAAAGATTATATTTCTGTTCTCTTTTTTACCCCAGCTGAGTTAAATACAGTCTTCAAATTGAAAAGAAAATTAAAGAAATTTTCAATGAGAAAGAAGCACTGAGAGCATTTAAGATGTCATTTCAACTTGAGGGGTCTCATAACCTGTGAGATGAAAAGATCAAAAGATGCCACTGTTCGAATGGAGCAGTATCATTTTCTCTCTTTTATTTACAAAGATAAGGCAAGGTGACAGGAGAAAGATTGATTCTTCAGTATTGAAATAGCATAACAATATTTTTAGTAAGGCAGAATATTTACATGTTTTAAAAATGGCGAAAAGTTGCATTCCCCCCCCTTGCAATTTAAAGCAGAAATAGTTTTTTTTTTTAAATTTAGAAAAAGTAGTGTCCAATTTGAAGAGATAGAAAATAACGTTTCAGGGCCAAAATGACTGTCCGTGTCCGGTTTCGGGAGTGTCCGCTTCGCGGAGAATGTACCACATAATGTCCGTATTGAGAGGCATCCGTTTGTGTCCATAACAGGAGGTTTCACTGACTGCATATATATGTATTGATTTAAAAAGTAAATAAACAGTGTTTTAAATTATTGATACTTTTATTATTTTCTTTTCGTAGTTTTAAAATTTATTTTAAATAAATTGCTGCATTAATTAATTTTAGTTAACGAAATTACTTTCTTTTTTGGTGCGTGTTAAATTCCAACACATTTGAAATTACACTTTTAAAAATATTTCGATTCTTTAGATTGAAAGTACAGATTAAAGTAAACATTTAATGCTGTCTTAATATAGACTTGCGTAGCTGTAGAAATTAATTAATAAGCATGAATTTTTTTCACAAAAAAATACAAATAATGTCAATTAAAATTCTACCTTTTGTTTGAAAAAGCATGGAATTAAAATCAGCATTATATTTTATTGTGAAAAATGTATACTTCTAAAGTTCGAGGTTATTTTAAAAATAAAATACCCTAATATGCCAAAAATAGGGTTTTAATTGGGTATAATATGAAAAAAACACAACTACTTCGATTTAGTAGGAACAACATATGACGCAATNCAAATAATGTCAATTAAAATTCTACCTTTTGTTTGAAAAAGCATGGAATTAAAATCAACATTATATTTTATTGGTGGAAAATGTATACTTCTAAAGCTCGAGGTTATTTTAAAAATAAATTACCCTAATATGCCAAAAATAGGGTTTTAATTCTCTATTTCATCTAGTCTTTAAATTTCAATCATGCATTTGTTTCAAAATGGTTGCTAAGCATTCAAAGCTATGCATTATAATAGAAAATTGTTTTATGTATTGTAATAAAAAAAAATTGTTATAGCTTCTGAAATATTGTTGTAATATAGTTTTAATATTAATTTAATTTTGATTAAACATTCATAAAGTTATTTTTAATCATAAATCAAAGTTCTTACAGTGTATTTGAATAAAAATCAAAAAAATCTGATTCAAAAAAAAAAAAATTAAAAAAACCACAAACCCTGCTCGCTACACGTGAAAGCATGCAAAGTGTTGCCATAGGTCAAGAGTTTTGCTCTACTCCACCTCTGTAGCCCATTTCGATCGCCAATAACTTGGCATAATGTTTAAAAATGAACCAGAAAATTTCCCATACATAAAATAAATCATTTATAAGATATGATGCAATAATTTTAAAATTTTATTCTCGAAATACTCGAACAAAGCATCTTTAAACAATGCATAATTAAGAACAAAAAATTTTTTGTTGTTGTAGTTCATTTACTTGGCACTAGAGCAGCACAATGGGCTATTGGCGACGGTCTGGGAAACATCCCTGAAGATGATCCGAAGACATGCCATCACAATTTTGATCCTCTGCAGAGGGGGTGGCTCCCCCGCTTCGGTAGCCCGACTGCCCGCGAAGTTGAGCACTTTACTGTAGAACAGTTTAACGAGGACCGATACCGGACACCCTCGGTCCCTACGCAGGCTGAGCCAGCGATACTTCGGTGATCTTCTGGGAATCGTGTCTCAACGATCAGTCCACTGCGGGACAAAAAACATTTTAGATGCTAACCAGTTGTTATTCTCAAATAATAAAGTAATTTTCAAAACCATGAAAGTTAATTAAAATAATTAAATTAGCAATATGGTATAACAAATTAAAAAAAAGAAATTTCAAAAGGTATGAATTATTTTGTCACACTCCACACAGTTATTAAAACATCTTTCAATGTAGTACCTAAAAATTTAATTGGAAAGTTGAAAAATAGATGTCGCTTGCCTCGTTAAGTTTTCCTGGTGATAAACTATTCAAATTATGAAGACCGGCCTGTGTAGGGGTCAGGGAACTGGCCTTGCATCAGAAAGTTTCTGGGTTCGAATACCGGACAAGACATTCTTTGCACTATCTGTCCTTACTGTGGGAGCAACTTTGGCCCACCTAATAGGGTGCCCCTGGAAAAGTGGCCAACAAATCTGCCCTTCAGATGCCTGTATGGCGAAAGGTCATTCACCAGGTGGGCATGAACAAAAATTCAAATAATTGATTTTTGCATCATAATCAATCATTACTGTCTGTAAGCGGGTGGTGCCACCAATTCGATCAGTTTGCGTAGGGACCGAGGGTGAGCGGTATCGGTCCCCGTTAAATTTTTCTACTTCGTAACATTGCTCGACTTCGCGTGCAGGTCGTCGGGCTACCACAGCAAGGGAGTCATCCCCGCTACAGAGGATCAAAATTGTGATGGAATCATCCTCAGGGATGTTTCTCAGACAGTCGCCAATAGCTCATTGAGCAGCTCTAGTGCGAAGTAAATTAAAGTACCTAAAAAGACTAGACAAATTAAGATGTGTGGTTTTTTTTTAAAAAATTACAATTTCAATACAGAGAAATCGAATTTTTTCAATGGTGTAGCGGAAGCCATCGTTTTAAAATAAACGATTCCGTTTCGCGATATAAAGATAGCATCAATACTGTTGGCAAGCTCTAATAAAAGAAAAGTTGTTTCTAGCCTGTTCTCTAATATTCAATTTCTTTAAGTCGTTGTGCTAGGTTACCTAATGATCGTTGTAGCATAGGCGGACAATATGGTCTCATTAATATTACCTGAAACCACGTGTTTATACTTTTTGTACCACGTGTGCTACTTTTTTTAACCGCCTCGACTCAATATTTATAATCTCGAGAAAACTCAGGCTTAGCAGAATTTGTCAGTACATTTTGTTTTATCACGTGTTTACTGGGTTGGAAGCGAAAAACATAAACTGCTGTGATTGCCAAGTTTTATTTGGGAGTTTTGATAGTAGCCTGTGGGACTGCACATGTGTTTTGTGCTATTGTATATACGATGGTTGCTGAATTTACATAACAATATGAGTAAAAAAAGAGAAAAAAAATGGCGTATTCCTTCACTGACGTTTGAAAAGTATCACTTTGTGTGGTTCCTTGTTTTAAGAACTATCATACAAAGACTAATATTTAAAAATTAAATGTTTCTTACACATAAAAAAAAAAAAAAATTCAACTTAAAACTTGTACTTTATGTTTTGTTTTAGTACCTTGTATTTATTAATAAAAAAATATGTTGATTTTTTGCTTTTTTTGTCCCCTTTAAAATAATTTGTAATTGAAGTGGTTAAACGTGTTTCTGTGAATAATCTTAAATCAACGGTAATTCAAAAATGCTGTGATGAAAATCGAAATTTAGTTAATCAATCATGTGTATTCAATTCAGTATCTTTTCCAAACTTCGCATTTTTATCGCAATTATAATTTTTATTATCTTAAAATAATTTTAATAAGGGTTAGAAATACCTAATATCTGTGTTTCGCTTCCTCCACACTGGTTATTATAATTTTAAGTTTTTTGTGCTGCAAGTCTAAAATAGGACGCAACTATGATAAAATGCAAGCAACAGTTGTTTTGTCATTTCGAAATGAAAACATATTGTACTTGGCAATTACAGACCCTGGCATATTATTAGAAGCACTAAGATTCTATGTAAAAATATAATTATCATGTGATACTCTATACAGCTTTATTGTTTTTACTCGGATGAAACCATTTGTTTATGCTCCGGTATCAATGGGTTAACATTGTAATGCAATACGTTAAAAATAAATACAAATGGGAAGTATATAAAAAATCTCCTGAATAAAAACCCATGTATGTTTAAATATAAAAGTATTGCCTAATAACTCGTGCAAATCATGAAATAATTGAAAAACTACAGTGGATCTAATAATTGGATCTAATTATTATAATATACTAATATATTGCTTGATATAATAAATATTCTAAATTTATATAATATGTCGTCTAACTTATCGTATCGTCAAATTTATATTATATATCGTCTCATTTAACCCATTGATACACTAACGTAAGCAAGTGCAAACCGGTTTCAGTCACATTAAAAGCAATAAAGCTGTATAGTATAATTAAGATCTTACTTTGAATAACGTCTAATTGTTTAGCTAGGGACTGCAGCTCAAATATTACCCTAAAACATCAACAAACAAAGAAAAAGAGTTTATCTAAACATCATTCCGAAGAAGGCGACTTTGAATAAGGTCAAAGACACACTTATTTGCGAGGGTGGTTTCAGTCGCTCGGCCAACTCACAAAACAACATTTGGCGATCGTTCTGGCGACGGAGATAACATTGGCCCAGATTTTCGTTCGGATTAAGGAAATGAGTTATTCATATTAAGAACGGTTCACTGCGACTCTTGACAATCTCGTCCATCCGCTCAATTATGTCAGCTCTCATCCTCTCTTCTATATATCCGTTTATGTTTATAAAATTCGATCTGTCAAGAAACTGATGAAGTGTTTGAGACTAAAAAATTATTCCATTTTGATGTCATGGCTCGTCCGTCGTGCATTTTTTCTTCCATCATCTTCTTGCTCATTTTACTGAGCGTCGGTGTTCTGGTGTTCGTTCTAAAATTCCAACATTCGGCCGAGACCTCTCCCCGTCCCGCAACAACACGCATCATGATGCAGTCTGATTCGGTGAGCACCGAACCTTACGACGATCCCCACGAACCCTGGCTGGACTTCAGACTGCCCACCCACGTCGTCCCCTCGCACTACGATCTTCTTCTCTATCCACAGCTCGAAAACGACACGTTTTTCGGGACGGTCAACATAACGGTCAGCGTGAACCGTGACACCCGGTATTTTATTGTCCACGCGCATCGTCTGACTATTACCGAGTGCGGAGTCTATGATCCCCGCACGGGGGATGGTTTGATACTGGAAAAGCACTTCACTTACGCCCCCAACGAATATTTTGTTCTGGAGACGCGGCAGAGATTGAGGACTGGAAGATACATTCTGAGGTTTGAGTTTTCCGGAAACCTGACCGGGAGTATCGTTGGATTCTACAAGAGCAACTACCGTAATCGCTTGAATGAAAGTCGGTAAGTGATCATCTTTTCGTAATCTATACCTATTTCTACAATAGCCGGTCACTTTATGTTTCTTGATTGAATGTATGGATGATAGGAAGGAAATAAACTAAAAAAAAACTTTATTATAATTAAACATAAATGTATATTGGCAATTTTTATGTATTACAAACACAAAGAATATAAATTTTTCATTCAATGCTCAACTCAATTTTTACATTTACAGAGTGTTTCCACTATACATTTTTCGCAAACATATTTTCCACATTCAGAACAAATTTTGATGGTTTATAATTTAATGGTTTATTATTTATAATATAAATTTTGATGGTCATAAGAATCTTGCTGCATACTAAAACTTTTAGTTTTTGTCATTTTTTCTGACGCAAAAATGCCAATCTAAAATTTTAGGTACTTGCTTGAAATATGAATTCGCATTTATTCTGATTGAACTAATAACGCAACAGTTTTTGCAAAAATGTGAACTAACAGGGTTCGTGTTTTTTGAATTTTTTTTATAAAAAGTAAAAAAAAATCAGATATTTTATTCTATTTAAATCTGATTTTTTTATATTTATTCAAATACATTGTAAGAACTTTGATTTATGATTAAAAAAACTTTATAAATGTTTAATTGAAATTAAATTAACATTAAAACTATATTATAACAATATTTTAGAAGCTCTAACTACCTAAAATAATTTTCTATTATAATACATAGCTTTGAATGTATGGCAATCATTTAGAAACATATGCATGATTGACATTTAAGGACTAGATGAAATAGAGAATTTAAAGAATACTTTAACTATTGAAACAAATTTTGAATTANAGAGCTGCACATTGGGCTATTGGCGACGGTCTGGGAAACATCCCGGAGGATGATCCGAAGACATGCCATCACAATTTTGATCCTCTGCGGAGGGGAAATTTTCTATTATAATACATAGCTTTGAATGTATGGCAATCATTTAGAAACAAATGCATGATTGACATTTAAGGACTAGATGAAATAGAGAATTTAAAGAATACTTTAAGTATTGAAACAAATTTTGAATTAACAAACCATAATTTTAATTTAAAATTGTGATTTCTTTTTTTTTCTCTTGATTTTTAAAATGACAAAATAAATGTTACAGATTGTGTTTATAAACGCACTCATTCATCAAAAAAAAAAAATATTTAATCTACATATTTTTATATTGAAATATTCATTTTTAATCCTATATCAATATAGACAAGTCAAGCTAAGAAAAATTTTAAGATAATCTATGTACACATTGGAATTTTTTTTCACAAAATTTCTTTATAGAAAATACTGAAATATACATTTTCCACCATTAAAATATAATGTAGGTTTTAATTTCATGCTTTTTCAAAAAAAAGGTAGAATTTTAATTAATATTATTTGTATTTTTTTTGTGAAAAAAAATTCATGTTTATTAACTACTTTCGACAGCTATGCAGGTTTGTATTAAGACAGCATTAAATGTTTACTTTAATCTTTCAATCTCGAGAATCGAAAGATTTTTAAAAATGTAATTTCAAATGTGTTGGAATTTAACGCATGAAAAGAAAATAATAAAAGTACTTATAACTTAAAACACTGTTTTTTAATTTTTTAAATCAATATATATTAAAAAAAATCAGTTGATTTAAATCGTGATTTAAATAAACAAACCCTGGCAACTAATCGAATGCAATACGTTGAACACGCATTCATCGTAATTTCTGATCCGATAACCTAATAAAGCAATAAATTGTTCTCCCGGTCAAACGGCCGGTTGTGGTAGAAATAAGTATACGACAAGTATTATTCGAAACAAACAAAATACAAAAAAATAATAATAGAATTTTAATTATCTATAATTGTTAGAAAAAATCATGAATTCAAATGTGCAAAAGTAATTAGATGATGTGCGAATTTTTGAAGGAAAAGTTCTGTCATTTAACCGGTATATTAAGTGTTAAAAAATCACCATCCGCTTTTTTCATTGAAAATGTTCCAAAATTCATGTTATTCACGATGCTGTTATCACTCCCGGTATGTTCAGGTTAGTTTACGCTTGTTCGAAATTTCAGAAATTTGGTTGCCAACTCGAGTGATTTCATATTGTTTTTCTAAATTTTATGACTGTTCATCGAACTAAGAGTAATCTATTGTAATTTGCGATTATTTCAGATTTATTTTGTAACTAATAAATTTCATGTTTGTAAACAAACATGCATTTCATATTTGACAAGTGATCCAAAAACTCAAACATGAAATTTTATGAGTGGATAATGTTTTAAACAATATTTAAACTTACGGGCAGGTTTCAGAAATTAACCCTATTATCATATTTTTATTATATTTTAAAACCGTCGTTGAGAAGTCGACCCAATTTTTCGGGTTTACGACGACTTGTGTTCAATTCCGTAACCTTGTCATTTTGAACCCAACCCAGAAGACAAGGGAACTCCTGCATCAAGTATTGGGGGGGGGGATTTCCTTCGCAGAGGACTTTTCGATTAAACTAACTCCCATTTGCGTTACATGGAGAGGAAAAACACGTAAACCTCCCACGGTTAGTATGACGGCAAAAGGACTCTAAGCTATGATCCATCTGCCACTGGGGATATTTTACTTCAGAACTGTGGTCGGTGCGAGCCGGGTGCGGAATTCGTATTGACCAGTCATCGCCGTAATTCGAATATGTTTCACCTCACTGGATGTTTTATCCCCTGAGCCATGATTTACAGTTTGAAATTTTCGAAAAACTAGTCAACATTAAAAATGCTACTACTGGTCAAGCCGATCCTAAAATTTTTCACCTTGGCCCTATATCTACTCAAAAGTGTCTTCGTACTTATTTTTGAAAGGGATCGTCGAATTTTGAAATTTCTCAAAATACGAGACTTCGACAATTTTTTAATGTTAAATTTCTTGTCTAAAATAATACATTGTTTAAAACACATTAAGTAAAAACAGTAATTGTTTCGTTTAAATTTTAATTTATGTAGCTTTTTTAAATAATTAATTTCTCAATCGCCTATTTAACGTTCTGTAGCTGTCAAGAAACNTTTTTATCAATTTTAATTATTTCTTTAAATTATTTTTAATTTTCACACGTTTGAAGGAATAAGTGAAGACTTCCGTAAAAAGTTTCAGAACTCTAAGCGAATGAAAAATCATCCCATCTGCTTTGAATTGAAATAAAACTCAAAATACGTGATCCGAAAATCATTTACATTCAACAAGGTTGAATTCAAAATATAGGTTTCTGAACTTCCCATATTAAAATAATAATCAAAATAACCCTTTTTCTCAAAATTTTGTGAAAGACTTATTATTTTATTAACTGTTTTCAGTAGGTTTTTTTTTTAAATATTTATGTTATATGGATTGGATAAGATTATTCTAATCAATAAGTGCTGAATGAAATGAAAATCGTGGCATTTTTGGCTTTGAAGGAACTACGAAATGTAATTTACTAAAACTTTTTTTAACCCATTTAAGATTAAGTATTAAATTTTATAAAATGCGATATTACTTTCATTTAAATATGCTTCAATTGCATTCATTAAGACACAAAAATAAGTTTCGCTCACGAAAATTTTTATTTAAGAAATAAAATGGTGCGTATAAGGACCATAGGAACACTTAATGAATACTTATTTGTTTTTATATATGTTCCCAAAACCTTTGAAGACAGCTGAAAAATGAAATTCATGAAAAATATTCATCGCGGTGTTAATTAAAAAATATTTATTGAATTCGCACATTTGGTCAAAAATGGGTAAAACAGATGATACACGAAAAATTAATACAGTCGGACCTCTATTTAACGAAATCGCTAAATCCCGATAAAAAGTTCACTACATGGAAAATTCGTTAAATAGAAAATCACCCTTTTAAATACTTACACAGCGAAAAACAGGTTTCAAATTCATAAACACTACGCATAATTAAAATAGCAATTGATATAACTTGTAAATTATTATCTGCTCTCGAATTGTTTCAAATGATTTCAACATTTTATCACACGAAGGCTTAGTGATTTCTTCATCTTCCTCACAATTTATTGCCGTATTGTTTTTATTTTTCACACAGTCCAAAATATCCGATCCAATTTAATGTTTCTGCGGCTGCAGCTTCAGAATCAATAAAAAGAAAATCATTAATCAGTGCATCATAGTTAATTTCTTGGTTTTCTCTTAGCTGTACCCATATTTCTTTAAAGTTCTTTTAAAGGAATGTCATTTTCGTCCTCCACATTTTACAAATTCCTCGCTTTGACTAAGAATCCAGCTTTAGCAAAACTGTTACGAATAGAACGATCTGTAACATCCTAGTTCCATTCTTTAGAAATTTCTGTTATGCTTTCTCGTAAGTGAATTTTCAGCATGCTATATGAAATGTTAACAAAAAGGAATTTTAGCGCTTTCTCTGAAAGTTAAGTGGCAGCAAAAGTCAATTCAAGGTCATTTCTCCCATAAAATGCATTAACAAGTTTCAAATGTTGCGAAATATTTTTGGAAGTAGGGAAAGTATATATTCTTTGTCTTAACCACTTCCCTGAGCTAACTCGGGTATATGTATTGCAAATATATATCATCCCGAGAAAACTCGGGCTTAGCAGAATTTGTCAGTACATTTTGTTTTATCACGTGTTCACTCGGTTGGAAGCGAAAAACATAAACTGCTGTGATTGCCAAGTTTTATTTGGGAGTTTTAATATTAGCCTGTGGGACTGCACATGTGTTTTGTGCTATTGTATATACGATGGCTGCTGAATTTACATAACAATATGAGTAAAAAAAGAGAAAAAAAAATGGCGTATTCCTTCACTGACGTTTGAAAAGTATCACTTTGTGTGGTCCCTTGTTTTAAGAACTATCCTACAAAGACTCATATTTAACTTTATAGCAAACTGATTTTAAATGAAATGATTCTTACACATAAAAAGAAAAAAATTCAAATTTCAACTTAAAACTTGTACATTATGTTTTAGTTTTAGTACCTTGTATTT